TCTTGAAAGCTCTCATCCTGTGCGCACATTGTGAGATGTACGGAGAGAAGGGGCGCGAGAGAACGTACGGGGAACTTATCACCGTAGATCGAGAAGCTGCCTGTGCCGTCCCCCTTCATGAAGTCGCCACCTACACCGGTCAATCAGCAACTTCCGAAAACGCGAAAATAGGAGAGGCGAGCCTTGGCACATAAAGTTCGGTACGCTGCGTGGCTGTCAGCCTTCTGGCGCAAGTATGGGCGGTGTGTTAAAGGACTGACACTCTAGATGGATCTCATGGCCTTAGCGAAACTCCCAAACGCGCAACGCGGCGGCTTCGCACCTGTGAAACGTCGCGTTTTTGTACCCTTGCGGCCGCGAGTTGACACTGCAAAAAAATGCAGCACTGCGTAAGACCAGGGCGATGTGGAGAAGGGGGGCGCGCACCGAAACTCCCCGGTGCAGAGCTGACGGAAGTTCTCTGCCGTTCTGAAATTGGAAGGCCATTAGTGGTGGAATGCGGCGGGTTGCTTTCGTCGCACTTGGGAACGATATCACTGAAAAGCTCCATTTTGAGGCGCCCCGCTGGCGTCTCGCCAATGTTGATATCCATGAAGACAATTGGACGCGTCGTGGTCATGGCGGAGGAAAGAATGTGACTCTGGGTGCCATCATCAGAGTCACGCGATCCATCTGTGACACATGTCATTTGTGCAAGTCCGGCAATCGGGGGGGTTTTTTTTAGCCGGAATGGTTGGTGTCGGCGTGCAAGACGAAGTATAATGGTTGGGGCACTGGCCTATAAACATGCCCTGATCGCTGGCAGAGGCGGATGTGGCCGTTACCAGTGCTGTCAAATTTCAATGACCCTCTTCGGTGCTCATAGATACAGGAGAACTGAGTCTATACTTACATACTGTACACCGCAGTACTAAGTACAGTGGTGGCAAAAAAGAATGTGGGTGAATGTTTTGGGTTTATTGCCATCATTTTGGCATCAAATTGGTCCAAATAAAATATAGACATGATTTTTGGTTGATTTCTGATATTTTCCCATGATTTGACCTATACAGTGCCCTGTTAAATTATCTGAAAGAGAGCAAATAAAAAAATGGCCAAAATCGGCTTTTTAGGCTGGCTGCTTACATAAGAATGGTGAACATAGGGTGAAAGTACTCCTTAAGGCGATCTCATCCATATACAGGTTGACCTACTTTCCTTGAGATTTGAGCTCAGGAGAGCTGGTACAAGTTGGTCATTTTGGCTAAATATTGGGATGTTTAGGCATTTTTTGTGCAAAAACAGTCAAAACAGCCATCTTGTACTGGTTCTCCTGAGCTCAAATCTCAAAGAAAGTAGGTCAACCTGTATATGGATGAGATCGCCTTAAGGAGTACTTTCACCCTATGTTCACCATTCTTATGTAAGCAGCCAGCCTAAAAAGCCGATTTAGGCCATTTTTTTATTTGCTCTCTTTCAGATAATTTAACAGGGCACTGTATAGTTCAAATCATGGGAAAATATCAGAAATCAACCAAAAATCATGTCCATGTTTTATTTGGACCAATTTGATGCCAAAATGATGGCAATAAACCCAAAACATCCACCCACATTCTTTTTTGCCACCACTGTACGTCTCGATTCGAGCAATGGCTCATCATTCTTTATTAAGTATATATAATGAAGCTCATCCGCTGGTAAGCGATCAACTTGCTTCTGGAACGATTTAACCAGCCGCGCCAGCGTTGCGATGCACATCCACCTGTATAGCCCACCAACCCGGCCTAATAAGGCAGGGCAGGAGGTGGCGGTGCCCGGGCTAATTAGGCCTGTTGGCCGTAATACGCCCTGTACGCCTTAATTATGCTATATATATGCCTTAGATACTGCTGTACGCTACTCCCGCCGCCAAGTGCCCTGCCGAGACTGCCGAGGCTGCCATCACAGACGTGATGGCTGTGATGGCCCGCCCTGCCCGCCCATCCCGCCGCCATCACGCCCAGGCCAGCCTCGGAGATGTGTCGGGGATCTCCGGGCATCCCAATTGGGATGCCCGTGATGGACAGGTGCCTGCCCGGTACTGATCCTTTGATCCCCTGATCTGACACCTGTCAGGGCCCTCGGATCGCCGTCCCGCCGCCGTCGCTCCGCAATTAAGGCCGTCGTCGCTGTCGGCGACGACGACGACGCTATGTACTCAATAACTGCCCCAAAAAATACATAAAATTAGCCAAAAAATAACAAAAATTAAAACAAGGCATCCCCGTGGCCCTCGGCCCGCAGCCCCGCGCTTAAAGCCGCCGTCGCTGTCGACGACGACGATGACACTAAGTCCCCCAAAAATACGCCAAAAAATAGGTAAAATTAGGCCAAAAAAAAACAAAAAAAAAGCACAGAATGCATGCTGCGTTGCCATATGTACATATTCTAAAGTCCAAATATCGTCACGTATGTTTTAATGAAACCAGACGCCCCCATTTCCGGAGGTCGGCCCCGATTCCCAACGGGGGTGCTTGGCCGACAGCCCGTTGTTGAGACTCTCCGTCGCCTTGCGCTTCTCGGCACCCAGTCCCGGCCTTGATGGGAGGTTCTCGCGAGGGTCAAGGGGAACCCTGTGCTCCCCAAACGCTGCGGACACGGAAGCTTGCGCTGGCGCCCAATGGGAGCCATACTCCACCTCCGGTTGGAGGCTGGGGAAGGGAAGAGCCGGCGCCGGCATGGGGAAGTCAAAATCCGTGCCGAAGGATTGTAATGTTGCGGTGAGGTCGTTAAGAAGGTCCTCCGGGAGTTCGGTGAACTCACCGGGGATGAATTGGGGCACAGGGAAAATGGGATTGGCGCCGGGCACTGCGGGAAGAGGCTCGGCCTCCGGGGTATGCCCTGCAAAGGCAGTGCCACCACCCAGAGGAGCAGGCAACGACGGCGCCACTCCGACACTTTGTGAAGCCGCTGCAGCAGGCGGCATGGAAGGAAGGTTGGGGCCAGCGTCCTTCGACGGCCTCGTCTTCTTTGTCGCGCGCTTTGACTTTGAAGCCGCCGCCGTTGAAGCCGCCGCCGCCGTTGAAGTCGCCGCCGCCGTTGAAGTCGCCGCCGCCGTTGAAGTCGCCGCCGCCGTTGAAGTCGCCGCCGCCGTTGAAGTCGCCGCCGTCGCCGTCCTCCCCGTATTCCTTCTGCTCCCATCCACCGCACTCGAAATGTCCGCCTCGTCCTCCCCACCCTCCTCCTCCTCTTGCTCGCTCTGCCCCTGCTCGTTTTCCGCCCCCCGTCTGGTCCGCGGGCCGCGCTTCTTTCCACGATCAGAGCGCTGTCCGCGCTTTTTCAAAGGCTGCCCCCCCGCCTCCTCACGACGCTCATTCAGCCTCTCTACCAGGGCGGCATGCGCTGTTTTCGTCATCTTCCGCCAGAAGATGTCCCCGGAAACCCACTTGTCCCGGATCGAGCGCGCGATCTCACTGCTGAGTGAGTTGGGGGCAACGAGCTTGCCACCCGTAGACTTGAAAGGCCATCCCACTAGCTCGACCTTGTGCCTCTCACCGAGATCGATTTCGTGATTCGCCCAAGGGACACTTCGAATGGAGTTGTCGCCAAGTAGGTTCCCTGACACCACGGTAAGCCCCAAAAAACGACAACAGATAGAGGCGTACGAAGTCCATCTAGGGCCAGCTGGGAGATGTCCTTGCGGACCTGCTCTATGCCGGAGCATTTTGCCTCTGTGGTGAGTAATGTGAGACATGTGAAAAGCCTGAAGTGCTAAATAACGTACTTTCAGAGGCGACTGAGCAGGAATACATCTCGGCTCGACGCACGACGTCAGTCCATGGCTTTCCCAGCGATGAGATGAAAAAGTCGCGGAAGGGGCCACCCTCCAAGTACACCGGCTCCATGGGATCTTCCGGCGAGGAGCGGACACCAATCATAAATGTCCGCATCCCGGTGCGGACAAAGAGATTCGTCATCTAGCAAATGATGTAGCGGCGTCCGTATGGAGGGTAAGTAGAACCTACCTCCGTCTGAAAATGAGCGACGGCCTCGCGCGTGCTTGCAGCCAACGCTTTCGTCGTGACGCGGGGGGCCTTCGATTGCTGCTCGCGGTGTTCCTTCAGCTGCGCACACAGGCGCTCTTTTTCAGCCTTAGGGAGGTCCCTGAGGTTGTCGACACCTTCGACATGCTCTTCATGGAGTTCGAGCGCCGATAGCCTTTGACCTGCAGGAGAGTCAAATCTGTAGGTCACAACAATGAGAGAACGTACCATCTTCCTTGTGACGATTTGACGCGTCGTGCAGGTAGGCGTTGTACAAATTAGGCGCCCTCTCTTTGGTGAACTTGCTCTCGTTGGAGAGCAGCTTTCGGATCACCTTAACCGACCGCCCAGGGAAGCGCCTGTGTAGCTCCTGCACTTTTTCCTCCCGATCTTCGAAAAAACGGGTCACCTCCGCATTGAATTCCTGCTGCTTCAAAAGACGCTGGGCTTTCACCAGCTCCTCGCTCCGGCGCGCAGCGTCCGACTTGCCCATCCCCCGGCCCCCGGCAGACTTGGCGGTCGCCGAACCTGTCGCAGCGAGGGCTCTCGCGGAGTTGGACACCTCGGCTAAAGAGCTTGAAGCCGTAGGAGCGCCAGTAGAGACCAAGGAAGATGTCGAGGGCTGAATGGAGGCTGTGGAGGCCGCTGGTGAATTCGATGGGACGTCGTCCATAGGATAGAAATTTTAAGAGTCAATAGTTGACTTGTTTGACTGTGTGGACATACGCTCAGGCTCTAGCTTGTTTACTGCGTGACCGTGTGGACCTACGCTAGCCCATTTCATGACCAATACGCGCCGTTCGGGAAGCGAGCTATTACCTATTGATGACTCTTGCAGTGAAAGCTGCACAGCACAACTCAGCGCCGCAGGAGGGAGAAACTAGCAAATAAAAAGAAAAGGGGGCCATAAAAAAAATGAGGGGTGGCCCAGAGGGGCACCCAGGCATGGTATCTCCAGCCACGAGGTACCATGCCCAGGCGCCCCCCTGGCCACCCCTTAGACCACAGCAGGAGTCGAACCTGCGTCTTCGAAAGCCCCGAAGAGCAACGACGTGTTAGCCACTACACCATGCGGTCGTTGGGGCCGTAGGCACGGCATAGGCCTTCAGGCTTCATCTTCAGGTCGACATTTAAGCTTCAGACGCCAGATCGTGGATTTATAACGTGTGCTTTCTATTTTAAAAGCCGCCTTAGAGCAGATCCAGCGCAGAATACGAAAACCAGACCAAACCCAAGCCTATGCAGCCCAGCCTGAGCTCCGCAAATCCACAAACCGACGCGACACGTAGGCAGAGCTGGCCCGCACACAAGATTTCAAAATCGCCAGGTTTACGGTGAGTAGCAGAGTAGTCCAAATTGACCACCGGAGAATCGAGAGACCATAGAACTCGACGCGACCGCACGCAGCAGCTGGTGGACATGTTCGCCCCCCAAATACACGACACGGCAGACGCGTACATGTCATGGGCCCATGCTCTTCGCAATGAGGGGCTGTCCGGTCGGTTTCGATACCCAGATGGGACGGAGCTCCAAAGCACTCCATCCATACTTGTGGTGGATTTGTTCGGTAGGCTCTTACCACACTGCGTACATTTTTTATATGACAACATCATGGCAATTATAGCATGCTACGCCGAGGACGTGCAGATGGCTCGGGATGAACCTTTCTTCGCCTCGGGACTGGTGCGCCAGGGACTCTTCCCGTGTACACCTGGCGTCGCCTCTGTCGCAATTACAACCCGGACGCTCGAGGTCTTCCGCAGGATGAAACTTCGTTGCCCGCGTATGGGCATCCAGGCTTGGGTTCGTGGACTCTGCGATATCCACGGCGTTCCGCCCCGGCCGTATCTTGGTGCCCAATTCTCTATCGCTTTCGACTTTTACCTCGCGGTTCTGGACGACGTGGATCGGCAGGTGCGGGCTGCATTGGGGCGTGATACCCCTGACTGGCGCCTCCGCAACGCCTGCCCCTGTTGCTTGTACAAGGTGCAGGGGGAGCCGGAGCTGGAGCTTCCGTTCCTTGCAACCATGGACGGCAACAACTCTTTAAAACGAATCCATCGGCGCACGGCGGAGGACTACGACGCGGAGGGCAATGTAGTTGACTGGGAGTCAAGGGAGAGGGTCGACCGTCGAGTCCCCGCCGGCGATTACTACCTCTCCCGTAGAGAGGTTGACAGTTGGGCCATTGGGGATGGAGAGGAGGCCGCGAAGGTGCATGCAGAGGGCGACGGCGACGAGGATGAGGGTGACGACAGAGGGTGTGCAGAACGGTGGCATAACATGAACGAGAATGAGACGTCGAAGTCGTGGGGCATCTATGACGAGACCGGCATTTTCGTGGCGCTGTGTCGCCACGGCTTCGTCCTCAAGGTGGTGGATATGGTTAAGAGCGGGGAGCTGTGAGTTTTGATTGCTTACATCTTCTGGGGAGGGAGCTGACGACTTTGCTTCACTTCAGGATGAAGTACGGCTACGCGGTGGTCGCGCACATAATACAGGTGCTTGAGGAGATCGCGACCACTATGGGATACGACATTGGCTGCAAGTTTCGTCAGCTGGTGATGAAGCACCCGCGTTTGGGCCCGATCGCAAGGAGGGCAAAGTTCCGCTCGATGATAGGTGCCTTCCACGGTACAGGCCACAACCACCTCTGCCAAACCCGGAATCTTCCCAAGTACACGCCAGGCGTGGGCACTGAGGGCTTTGAGCTTTGCGAGAAATTTTTCTCGAAGTCAAATGCACTTGCTGGAAGGACACGCTACTTAAGTGTTTTCCACCGCCTTCAAGCCATTACGACGTATCTGCAGCATTCAGACCGAGCGGAGGCCTACGATGCGCTTAGTGAGTCTACTGTTACCGAACTGTTGACGCCCATCTAATCTCTGTTTTGCAGGTCAGAATATTGTTAACAACTACAGGCGAGTTCTTGACACCATCGACGGAGAGGAGTCGCTGAGAGACGCCATGCGAACTCTTGGCGTTTCTGACCGGTCGACCTTTGACGAGTGGCTGGCGGCCGAGCGCGAGCATCTGGAGTCCTTGGAAAAGGAGCCGGAAGGTGAGACGCTCGAGATGGAGTATTATCAGAAACTCGTCAACTACTATACAAATGAGTACGGAATTCCTCTTTTCTTTGGTTTCCCAGGCTTACCGCTCCTCAGGGCTAAGGCGGCGGAATTAAGGCAGGATGCCTTTGTGCATGTACGGCCAGACGATAACATCGCGGATGCTGCCAAGGCCACACGGCAGCAGGAGGCGCGGCGTCGCCACATTTTTGAGCTGGCGGAAAAGAGCCTGGAGGCCGTGATGTATTTGGAGTCGAGGATGGGGGTGGCCACTCGTTGGGTCCCAGGCGATGAGAAGTGGCTTGAGGCACAGGACCTCGTCTCCAAGCGCCGCTATCAGCGCGCTTTGGACACTTTGGAGAAGCTCGTCGTCGAAAGACTCTCTGAGCTCTGGAAGATGAATCTCACAGGTACCGGTGCGTCTCTCAGTGTTCTCAACACACCTCAATATGATGGCTCATTCGTGTATATGCAGGGTTCAAGCTGAGGAGGCACATAGCCAAAGCCCTCCAGTCCCGGTCCAAAGCGGTTCGCAGCGCATTGGACGCATATAACCAGGCCGCCGCCGCGCTCGATCCTCCCCGGCCGCAGCTATCTTGGGACGCGGTGGTCGAGTATGGGTTTCTGTCTGAATTTGAGCTTCTCAAATTCAGCCGGCGTGACATCCGGAGAGAGCCGTGGGCCATGCCAATGGGACGGGCCGCGATGGATCGGGACTTCGGCCTGAGGCGCGCAAAGGAGATGGTCACCCGCCTGAACATGGAGATCCGCCGCCTTGTCACACACATCAGGGACGAAGAGGCGTTTGTCGGGCACCATGTGGAGAGACTCCGGGAGGATGGCAAGCCCGAGCTCGCACATCAGGTCCAGCTTTATGGCCGGGAGACGGGGCGATTCAACACCTTGCACCACTTGAGGTTGACCAAACTCATCAAGGACAAACGGTGCACGGCGTCGCTGACGCCCGGTATCGCAGTCTCTGACGAGCGAAAGCTCCAACCGCTGCATGGTCCCCAGCTGGATGAGGATGAGGATGTCGACATGCCGGATGCTGCTACACATGCCAACAACGCAGATGTTAGCGACAGCGAGGACGACAGTGAGCACGACGAGGGGCTGGAGGATGTCGATGAAGAGGGGATTGCCAACTGCGTAGATGGCATTTTGCGGCTCACCGTAGATGCCGTGGATGGGCGAAATCACGGCGGTGTTGGACTCTGAATTTTCTCATATTTTCGGTTAATTTTATGTTTTTTTTGGCGTATTTTCTGGGGGACTTAGTGTCGTCGTCATCGTCGACAGCGACGGCGGCTTTAGGCGCGGGGCTGCGGTCCGAGGGCCACGGGGATGCCTTGTTTAATTTTTTGTTATTTTTTGGCTAATTTTATGTATTTTTTGGGGCAGTTATTGAGTACATAGCGTCGTCGTCGTCGCCGACAGCGATGACGGCCTTAAGTGCGGAGCGACGGCGGCGGGACGGCGATCCGAGGGCCCTGACAGGTGTCAGGTGTCAAGGGATCAAAGGATCAGTACCTGCCCATCACGGGCAGGCACCTGTCCATCACGGGCATCCCAATTGGGATGCCCGGAGATACCCGACACATCTCCGAGGCTGGCCTGGGCGTGATGGCGGCGGGATGGGCGGGCAGGGCAGGCCATCACAGCCATCACGTCTGTGATGGCAGCCTCGGCAGTCTCGGCAGGACGTTGGGCAGCGGGAGTAGCGTACAGCAGTATATAAGGCATATATACTGCATAATTAAGGCGTACAGGGCGTATTACGGCCAACAGGCCTAATTAGCCCGGGCACCGCCACCTCCTGCCCTGCCTTACTAGGCCGGGTTGGTGGGCTATACAGGTGTGCACATCACAATGACTAGTTCTCTGTATATTTGGAGTGGATACAAGAGTTGGGTGGGCAACGTACCCAAAACAAAACTACCAAGTCTACACAGGCCGCAGTGGGAATCGAACCCAACACCTCTGCAATCAAATTTATTGCACTTTCATTGTATCCGAATTGTAGCGCAGCGCTCTAACCAATTGAGCTAGACAGCCTTGATGCACTGAAAAAAGGGATATAGAAGTATAGAGAGGCTACTGCTGTAACTCAAACCTTCCAGCTTACATCGTGGTCGATCTCCATATACCGGCCGCTCAAGAATCAAGAATCCTATATTATCTATGTCTCTTTCTTTCCTTATGCCAACGGCCGTCAAGCTCAGTTGCTTGAAGCGCTGCTAAATTGTGCTAATAATGATGGTGGACGTTTATGGCCTAATATGAGCACGGCACGCGCTTGCACCTCTCCATCGATGCGCGCAAATTACAGCTTGAGAGTCTGAGACTGCCAGTGCGGAACTTGTCGTCGTGGACTTAGTTTTCTGCACTGTACTTACAGCCGGTCCGAGTCTGCTGAGCTGCCGTTGGTTGGGTCGTCAAGTCCATTCTCGCTGGCACGGAAACTCGGCTACAGTCTCTCCATCAAGGGGTTGTCACGATGTGACGATGTGACCCGCACCTGGTCGGTCGGTCCAAGGTCTGAAGGCCAAAAAAAGTTTTTATAAAGTGTATATTTTTGGCTCGGAATCGGTCGGAATATCAACAATCAGTGTGTTTCCAGTGAATGAGTGGGATAAGGCCGCAGGCGGCAGTAGCCGAACCTTCACCGTGTTCCGGTGCCTTTGCCCATAGTGCAATAAAACTAGTGATTGCACAAAATAGGGGAGTTCACGGTAGGGCCGATTATCCCGTTTGTGAATAAATATATTCATTTGATGGGACGAATTTAATTGTCATTTGTGGAATAAATGCGTGATCACCCCCATTTGAGTCCCAGTATTATTATATTTATATAGCATACATAAATTCCACCTGCCGTCGCTTTCATCCCCAGGAGGATGCCGCTAATCGTTCATGCAGAGTCTGCCCTGGGGACGATGAACTTGAATGATTGACATCGTCGTTGTGGACTGCGCCAAAGGCGATGCATGTGTGAGGCGACAGGCGGGAGAGAGGGGCAGGACGATGTTGGGACGAGGTAGGACAATGGGCGGGGAAGGCGGGATGATCGGCGGGGAAGGCGGGATGATCGGCGGGGAAGGCGGGATGATGAGCAGGTTGAGGCGGGATGATGAGTACATAGGCAGCTTGCTTACTCAAGCGGGTATATATTCCACAAACGAGATTAAATCTCGTTTGTGGAATATCTTTATTTTGTAAAAATAATGGTCCCATCACTCCATTATTTTTATTCACAAACGAGATAATCGGCCCTACCGTGAACTCCCCTAATAATTCATGATTACTTATTGACGAATAAACATATCTAAAAATGAGCCCGCTACATCGTATGTGGCTGCTTGCTTGAGCTACCTCCATCATTCTCTTCGAACTTGGGAAGAAAGGCATGACACTTGAGTGTATGCTTTGAAGGACTTGTTGAGGATGTCGTCGGCTTTCTGCACAAGATGTGTGAGCAGCAACTCCAAATTAAATTGCTCGTGCTTGCCTTACCCATGACCTTGATGTTGATGAGGCGGAAATCCCAGTTGAGCCGCTTTTTGCGAGGGCCAGGTACCTGTGGCTGCCCTGAGATAGTCGGACAGAAGACATGTATGCCTGACAGAACATGAGTGGATAGAAGACTTTGAGAGCACAACACGCACACGTGGCTTGATGGTCACAACCATGATGAGCCCGGGTCCAAGCTCATGCATGTGGTGGAAGGAGATGGGGATGCTTCTCCGCATTGTAGACTTCGACCTCGGGTACACGGTTGTAGCGAGCGTCGAGGTCGTGGATAAGCTTGAGGCGCCCAAAATGGTCAGCATATTCCGATTGACGTCCTTCCTAAGCCAGAATTGGCCAGTGTTTACGTGTAGAGAGAGGAAATGCTACACGAAATCCACATCAGCACATGAGAAGCATCAACAAGGAAAGAACACGCACCTGGCTAAAAGCCGTAAAGGTTGAGACGGAGACACTGGGGCCCTGCTGTATCGTTTCTTCAGTAGCCAGAGATGGTGACTACGCAAGGATCAGCTACACGCCAAGTGTCAAGCAAACGGCGGACTAGTATACCTCGGGATAGATGAGAACAGACGGTGCCGATAGATTTTGGGGCTTCCACTACAGCAGGGATGAGGGAGGGCAAATCATGAGCAGCAGACTGCAATACATTATAGTTGGAGAGCTGGAAGAATGAACAATGCAGCGGCATCATCTTGAAGTGAAGGGTAAGCCAGGTAGAGTGCACGAAGAGGTGGATTGGAGCTGGTGAGCAGCGGAGAAGCCAATGCTGAAGTGCTGAAGGGTGGGACGCAACACAAGACGAGCGGCGGATAGTAGCCCAAGCAAGACGACTCCTAAAATTTGAAAGTGAGCAGTCACGTGGTCACCCAAATACGGAACGTGGGAAATGTGCTAGCACAACTCGTCCCCTGGGTCTAAGGGCATCCCGAAAAGGAAATCACGTGCTATGTGCTACGACAACCTTGGTACATGGAGCCAAACCGAAGGTTCGGCAATCACCGGACTGATGACCGCCGGCCGATTCTCCGATGCACGTGTGTTTATTGATGAGGCTACTGCCAAATAACATGACATGTCACTGTCCCGCACATCGAGGCCCATAAGGCCCCGGGAAGCTCCCTATGAGGTAGGTCTGCAAAAATTGGCTCCCGGGGCCCTCAAATACGCTATTTTTTGGAGGGTTTGGGGTCTCAAATCCGCTATTCCGGACAAGGTTCATCACGTGACACTAAATTTATATAATTTTTTTTCTGCGGAAAAAACACTAAAAAATCTACTTCCCCTTCGTTTGACCAGTTCCCAACGCAGGTATCTTGATTCTGAGGACATGAAGCTCCTTTGCAACATCTCGTTGCAAATTTCGTATTTGATGTGTCTCCTTGCGAATTTTGCCAGTAAATCGGCAGATTCCATAGTTATTTGCGGATTAATTGGCCTCATGATGCAGGACAATATAAATAAAGAAGTGCAAGCAGCCGAATCAGCCCTCAAATCCGCTATTTCGGACCAGATTTTCGAAATTTGGCCCTCAAATCCGCTATTTTCAGACCGAAAAATCTCAAAATTTTCTCCTCAAATCCGCTATTTTCGGACCTACCTTATAGGGAGCTTCCCGGGGCCTGGCCCATAGAACACAATTTGGATCTGAGGGCCACACAAATACTATGATATATTATGGCCAAAACAGCTTATTCAACTTCTCCCTCAGCGCCCAGGCTCAGATTGCCAAATGCTCTCAGAACTCTGCGAGTACGACGAAATGTAGGTGTCGAGTCAAGAGGAGCGTCTGGAAGCTCTTGTAAAGCCTTCAGCAAGGCATGTGCCAGCATTACGTCTTGTTTATCCATGGGGTTGAGAAGCCTGTCAATTGTGTTGTCCGCAATGCCATTCTGCCGAAGATGCTCGTCAATAACGACCGCCGTAATTTGGAGGCCGAAGGCGTCAATTCCACCATCTCGAGTCACTAGCCTGTGAAGGCATTTTAGCATGTGGTTTCCGTGGGGTGACTAGAATATGTGTTATGGCTTGGAGCCTCAGATTCTGTGCATGCATACCTGCGCCATCAAGGAAGCGGTTAAATTTGCTGTTATTGATTGAGTGTCGATTGCCAAACATCACGATGTTTAGGGGAGAAAATTTCCTTTTTTTGAAACATCGCGTGCAGTCACGTGGTGGTCGGTCCAACCCAGACGGCGACTTTTGAGAAAAACGAGTACTGTTCCTTCAAAATTTTTTTGAAGACCCCTTGCTCTCCATAGTTCCATACTACTGGTATATGGTGTGCAGTACCCGACGTCTGGGGCTTATATTTAAGGTCGACCGCGATGATATCAACGAATACGTTTTATACGTGATCACCGTAACTCTGCATCGTCCAGAGTATGGGGCTACTATCATGCCCAAATGGTATGAATTTGCACAATTGGTCTGAATTTCCCATCTCCCAGTTTCCTCTCTTCCTCGTTGCCCCCGGAGTTTGTCGGGATGAATACATATACTATTTGTCTATGGATATGTAAAATAACCAAGGGATTAGGCAAAGGGAAGGTACCGAGAAAGCGTTGCCGGCGAATCAAGTCAGACCTATTTTTGGGATGTGCCCATGTTGTGAGCCCACCACTCTAAAAGGGCTTCCAAAAAAATTTGAGGTGAGTTATGTATGTAATAGAAGAACTTTTGCCTCTTAGGATTTTCTTACCGGGACGAGGCAGTTGTGTACTGGAGATGGAGGGCGATGTGCGTGACAAATTTGATCTCTGATCAGCCGCCATTTCCATTGTGACATTTTGTGACAATATGTGCCTCCACTACCAGTATGCCACTGCTCCGCCCCGGTAAAAAAATCACAAGAGCCAAAAGATTTTGTATTGCATATATAATGTGCCTCAATTTTTTCTGGAAGCTCTGTGCCAGCGGTGAGTTCAGAACATGAGCACAGACCAAAAAAAGGTGCGACTTGATGTACCTTCCTCTCCCCGAATCCCTTAGTTATTTCATGCATGTAAAGAAAAATAGTATATGTATTCATCCCGGAAAATTCCGGGGGCAATGGGGAAGAGAGGAAACAGGGAGATGGGAAATTCAGACCAATTGTGCAAATTCATACCATTTGGGCATGATAGTATGATATATCACGGGCCCACAATTGTCGAATAAGCCTGATACATCAAAGCCCACAATTGTCGATGCATTCTGATATATCATTGGCCTACAAATTGTCGAGCCAAATTACCAAATGGGTTATATCAGCCCCAATAAAAAAGTAGCACCAACGGGAATTGAACTGGCAACCTCCTGTAATGATCACATGACCATATTAACAAGTTTTCCAACTCAGCCATACCTCTGCACAAATTAATTTAAATATATCCACTATCATCTATCTTATTACATTGACAGGCCCCGCCTTAGGGGCCTTGGTTAGGTTGGTTGGTTAGGGATTAAAGTTAGGGGTTAGAGGTTAGAAAGGTTAGCCAGGGATATTATTTGTCTGCTTGGTTAGGCTGGTTAGGGTTTTTTTTTTTAGTTAGGTTTTTTTTTGGTTAGATGGTTGGACTGGTTAGGTTGGTTAGGGTTTTTTTTGGTTAGGTTAGGTTGGTTAGGGTTTCAACAAAGACCTAGGGCACCAGGTAGGGTAAGGGCACCTTACCCTAGCTGGGGAATTATTTTGTCTAGTTATAATTAAGTAATATTAGAGGGTTATATAATGATATTTCCTATAGTGTCAATGCCTTGATGGTGTAGTGGAATGATGTACTGGTTCTGGTTTGATGGCTGTTTATCAAATGTCATGTGTTCGAATCCCGGATGTGGAACTCGTTTTTTATTCCCATTATCATCTGATATATCCCAATAAGGAAATTTGGCTCTTCGACAATTGTAGGCAATATGATATATCAGAATGCCTCGACAATTGTAGGCAATGATGTATCAGCACTATTGCACAATTGTCGAACATCTGATATATCAGAACCCCATATATGCCTGCTGCATCAAACAGTGCGGGACTTACTCAACCAAACGTGAGGTGATCATGCATGTCATACATGAGAACAAACAGCTGCTCCCGGGTGTAAATCAGTGTCGCGGTATCCACAGGTGGACCCGCACTCTTCACACTTCCATATGCTACTTCTCAAATCGGTGCAGGGGAACGGAAACGCCCACAACTTCAACTGACACTTGGGGTTCTACTGCACGTCAGAATGCCTGCTCGCACAGCCCGAAGTCTGTACTCGGCCTTTATGGATGGGGTGAGTGCATGGCCGCCATCTAAAGCTCCAACTGTTTCCATTTATAAACATTTGTAAATGTTTATAAACGGTAGTTTTTCCGTTTATTTTATGAGGTCCTGTAAACGGTAAATAAATAGTAAACAAACGGTAAACGGTAGAAGTTTTTATACATTTTTGAAGCCTGTAGCAGTCGGAAGAAACCTTCGCATAATGCCTCTTTGGTGAGATCATGATCGGCGAACTGAGGCTCGAATTGCCGACAATCGTCGCCGAGAGTCGGCAACAATGATGACAATGTTTTTTTTGTTAGAAAAAATTCTGGACTGTTCTAATTTATTGTTCTTATCGCTTACCATTCATTTTCGCTTTCGTTTTCCAATTATCTTGAGAACATAGGCAAGTATTGTTGCCGACAGTAGCAGTAGCCTACCTGTCAACATACGGTGCCTCGGCCCCATCAGCGGCGCCGGCATCTTGCCAATTTAACAGGACGTGGTGCTCGTAATACAGCCTTGTATCAGGAAATTTATTGAATATGTTAAGCCGACATGTGTGTTGTCTAAAAAGTTAAGAGACATCCATCGTATCAGCGTGGTAGTTTGGCTTTGCATATATTACACATATGCATGGCTGACGAGCTAACGAAGCTTAAATTTTGTAGCCTTAGATGTCCACTAGTAGAATCATCTAATTTTATTCCATTTTTAAACGTTTATAAACATTTGTAAACGTTGAGTACCATTTACTGTTTTGTTTACGACCAACCATAAATGAAAACTAAACGGTTGGAGCCTTACCGCCATCCTAACATGATGCTTCAATTCCCTACGTCTGGGTTCTCATCCATCAATAAGCGGCAGGACTTATGTAAATCAGCAAACAAGCACAAGTCGGTCCGCAAGTGAGCACAAAATATATAGAACACCGGGAGGAACTGCCAATTGCAATGGCCGGGTGGTTTTGAGATTCTGATATGGCAAGTTCGACAGCATAGCTCCTAAGCACTGGCAGTCGGCTTTGAAATTACTATTGTAGTCTTGGGGACCCAATTTGCACATTCAATTGTAGCGTATGTTGTTTCGGAATGAAACGCTGATAGCCGGCCGCGCCAACGGTGCGGTGTCAAAGAATCGTTCTGTGTATAATTGAAGTAAATAAAAAAGTTGGGTGGGTACGCAGTCGAAAACGTGTTCATATCAGGGCATAAACATCCACCGGCGCTTCAAGCAACTGAGCTTGACAACCGTTGGCATACCGAAAGAAAGAGACATAGATGGTACAGCAATCTTGATTCCTGAGCCGGCGGCCGGTATCCGGAGATCGACCACGATGTAAGCTTGAAGTTTTGAGCGGCGCCTTACATCCCTATATACCTCTATATCTCTTTTTCAGTCTGTCAAGGTTGTCTAGCTCAATTGGTTAGAGCGCTGTGATACATTATTGGCAAATGCTTATACAGAATGATCACAGAGGCGTTGGGTTCGATTCCCACGGCGGCCTATAGTGTATATGAGGCCTTTTTGTTTTGAGTACGTCCGACCAACTCTTGTCTCCACTCTAAATATACACAGAACTAGTCTTTGTGATGGGCATCGCAACGCGGGCGCGGCTGGATATCAGTGTTTCGTTCCAGAAGCAAGTTGATCGCATATACTACAATGCCAGCAGCCCCAAGTGTGGTAGTTTCACTGTTTCAGTGCCAGTGGGAGTGCATCATGTTTCCGATTATTCCTGTGTTATAGTCATTGCTTGTCAATGCCTGCGAAGATGGCGGCTTTGCGTTGTAGAAGCGCTGGGGAGCGAGGCTCCGGTACTACTAGTAGTACGGTAGCAACAGCGTCGCAGCCTGAGACTAGCTTCTTTTCGGTTGCCAAGTCAGTCTCGCTTGCGACGAAAACGGAGGGTAACGTGTGAGATCTAGAGAAGCAGGCTCCGAGCAGCATACGGGTGACTTAATAAGGTGGAAATTTCCTTTATATTGTTTGACGTTTCGCCTTACATTTACAGACTACATATTATTAATTATGGTTATTTACGCAGACCCTGATTTATAGCCGAGACCGTATAAAGACCCTCACAGCGAGAAAAGCAAAAAATCCCCCTGAGCCGAATATGCTGCCGAAAATAGAAGTTTCAGCTTAAAATTGTACAGGGCAGTCGAGTTGCGGCCAAAGTGAATGCCTCACTGAAACAAGGAAGTAAGGCTCATGAGCCGGGCCTGTTGCTGGCTTATGCCGAATCGGCACTGTAAGCCACACAGCCACATCAGGAAAAAAGCACTAGAGTACGTAGTGTCTGATAGCCGAAATACCCGTAGTAACCCCGTCGACAAGTCCCCCTTATGGTAACCGCCCGTAGCCACCTGCACGGGTCTGGTAGCCGCTCGTAGCCAGCACACACCGGCTCGTAGCCGCTCGTAGTTATCACACGCCAGCTCGTAGCCACCAGTAGCACCTAGTAACATGTCATTTCAGCCAGCTACCGCGGCTATTGGAGGTATACGAGCTACAAGGCAACTCATATCAATACAATACTTCACACATTAGATGCGGATAAATAATAATTTTAAATATAGACGATAATATTGGGAACCAATTACACAATCTATAATTAAACAATATATTACGCGTCGGGACTCGGCTTCGGCACTCTCCCTATCCGCCGCCCCGCCAATCATCGCGAACATGCACACAATCGAGGCCGTTGCAACGGACCGGGATTGAGGGCCGGACCGGGAGCTGCAGGAAATCCTGTTACAAGAGAAATAATAATAATAATAAATTGAGACATACAAAACAAAATGCACGGAGGTCGAGTAACAAGGTGAAATGCACGGAGGTCAAGTAACAAGGTGAAGTATATTCTGTAAGGGAGGCAGGGTCAGGTTCTCGCAGACAAAGAACTGGGTTTGCACACACATGTTGACATGTGTTGAGGACGCCGCAGCTCAACACGAGCGTGCACATGCCAATGTCGACAGGCACGCGGCGCGCCGTCATCCCTGAGGCATACCTGGGGGGTTCCTTAGTGGCAGACTGGCAGTGCGTCAGTCAGCAGTCAGGAGAGGGGGGGATCGTGCACCTGTCAGAGCATGTGGACTAGCGAGCAAGACATTGTGCTGCGGGCGGATATGGGGAGGAAAGTGGGAGGAAATAAGAGTGGTTGATCCCCATCAAAAAGCGTCCCATGGTTTTGACCGCGCGGTGTCTCTGTCTCGGTAAGTTGTTGGCCGCCATTTAGAAACCGTTTTGATCGAACGGCGTTGTAGTTACAACTCGTAATGTGACAGCGGCCACTAATGCCGCGTAGTCCTGTTGTCGGCTGGAGTGTCACGTCAAATCACTTTCAGGCACATGATCAAAGGACTTGTCGTTTTCCATCTTGCCTCTGTCTCTCGACTTTCATGCCAGTGTGAAGCATGCATCAGTGCCTGAAATGCATTAGTTCTATTTTTTAATTCCAAAATACCAAAATGGTATTGAAAACTTGAGAATGACAGAGGGCTATGTCATGTATACCATTTTATTGATAGCCATCCATAACCAAACAGAAAGTTATGGGAGCTACAAAGCCAGGCCATATTGCTCCTGCCGCAACCTGAGCTACCGCACTCTGACGGCGGGCTACCAGGAGCTATCAGCTGCTACCAAACCACGGGCATCAGCTACCCGGGTTACCGTGTCATGAGATCTGAAGCGTAAGCGACGTAGGAAAATCTTTTTTCCTGATGCACTTGATTGGGGTCACCAATGTGTCCTGTTAAGCTGCGTTAAGCCACAACTTGTCTTAAGAAGTTGTCGTTACTAGTAGACGGTCATCCCAGCGTGGTCTAGACGCGGCAAATTACAGAGTACATACATTCAGATTCCTGTAGGATACCTAAATACCTGAGTGTCAAGAATCTAGCAGGCCCCCGGATAATCCGCATCAAGTATCCATCCAAAATGGCTAGTGAGGCCGACGAAGCATCTTGCCTGAGTTGGCTCCGGGCTGGATTCGAGACTGGGCGGATTACGTGGTTCACTTCTGACTTTGCTAAGTATGCGATGCGGAACTACATGACACAAAACCTGAAAGATAATCGGTTAATTAGGTCGCCAATGTTGACGAGGAGCTCCGGAGTCCCGTCGCCAGCATCACGAAAAATGTCACATCAATGCCAGGACCTGGCAAATAGGTTGCAGGCGCCACAAGCCCAGGCAATGGTGCTGAGCCTTGGCCGATGATGGCATTTGGCTTGAGTGCCCCTCAATCAAAAGGCAAGCCTTGAAAAGTTTGAAAGGCTAATGGCCATCACAAGGCTTGCCTGACTTTCCAAGGAGTCCCAAGCCTCGGCTCGTTCCGAAGGGTCAGGAAGGATGCAAGGACCAAGGCCGTTCAAATCTTAAGCAAGGCTCGCATGCTGCGCAAGCCACCGTCACGCTAGCCAGCCTCTTACCAGGCTCATTTATCACTTTACTCGAGCTCCCACAAAATAGTGAAAAATTAATTTAATTCTAAGTGCGACGAGTACAGTGGGTATGATGTGATGTAATGTACAATTGCGTTCTTGATACATAGCGACAAAGTCGGCGAGGATATACAGGACAACAATGTCATACCTAGAATGCGAAAAAGTGAGCAGACACGTGTCGAGCAGGATCTAAATAACGTACCAAGATATTGAGGAGCAGAAGACGCTGTCGTCGTTTAAAGCACTCTGCAGTAGAAATCAGCGCCGGTGATCGTGAGCCAAGGGAGCACGTACGATTACGTTTTCGTCGACGTTATTATATGCAGCTTAAGGACCTGATCAGCCGCATCGAATAAAATGACTCACCAAAGTAAGATCAGCGGGAACGAGGGGAGATGGATGCGGGACGCACTGGAGAACATGTCTGAAGAAGAAGGAAACATTAGCGGTGGCTGCGAGGTACTGTAGTATTTCGTTCAATTCGTATGTCACAGGTCACACCCGATTCCTGAAAACCCTTGCAATAATTTTCTTTCGATTTGTCCGATTTTTTTCGCAATTTTTTTTTCGTAAAAATATCACATCGCTTACGAATTGATCGAAATTGTACAGTAAGGGGTTAGAGTGCACCGTAAGCAAAGCCGCCAGGCACGGCGGTCACCGCTGGCGTTGGAATTGGCGACGATGGAAGCGGCAGCGGCGTCGACTTTTTCCCTGAAAACGGTAGATGGTCGAGCTGGTAATAGTCGACACGTGCGGTTGTCGCTTCGTCAAAAAAACAGTCAGAAAAGTGGATATATGCACTATGATTCACGTACGGAGCATCGCGTTGCTCGCCAAAAACTATCATACAGCATGCGGCGCAGCGCGCGGTGAGAAGGGGTAGCGTCCGGGGACGCCCGCGACGGACGGTGCGTGTGTGGCAATGGAGGTCGAGGCGTGCAGGTGGGGCGGTGGGCGGCGGAACAGGTTGGTGTAAGCGCCGCGGCGTCCACAGGCACATGGGAGCTGAGTCGGCAGAGGGCGACGAGGTGCTCGAGGACGCGATGGGGAGGTGAGAGCGCCGTGTTGCGCTTGGGTCGCGTGGGCGCATACGGGGAGGGGCTGGTGCACGTTCGGCGAAGCCATGGTTGGCACCAGGAGGGCGGGACTGCAGTAGGACATGCCGGGGGACAGGAGGAGGAGGAAAAGGAATAGAGGCCGGAAGATGGTGAGACGAAGGAAGAGGCGCGTTGATGTGCGCCCTTGATATAGGCCGAGATTTTCTCACGCCCTGTGAGTGCATCAACAAAGTGCACCCAGAGGAAAGACGTAGAGACTCCGAGTCACGAGAGGGAGCCCGCGGTACGAGACGCCGCAGAGCATGGAGTCGAGCAGCTCGCTAGAAACTATAGGCAAAGGTCTGTGTTGCACTCCAAAGCTCTCAGCAAGCCCGGCGTGGTCCGCTCAATGTCAGCAAAGCCTGCGGACGCGTACGGAATGGGCGTGCAAGGCTCGCCCGCGAACGATTGCAGTCGGCTTCGGAGATCGCCGGAAGGATTCTTGACGGCTCGAAAGGGTGTTTGATCAGGAGAGGAGGCTTAGGCAGAAGTTTGAACAAGGGAGCAAGGCTCGGGATGCGGTCCCAAGACGCTTGCTTGAAGAAGCTGATGCTGGGTGGTCCTTGGAAAGTCCTTGCTTGGATCCAAAGCCCAGGAATTGATCCGACATTTTTCGTGATGAGAATGATATTCTGCCTTCAACTTCCCCCGCTGTTTGGATGAATAGCCGGCATTCGCATTCCTGCATGGAGCGGAGAATTGTCTGATTTAGTTAAAAACTTCGTCGACCCTGCTGTTTGTCCAACTGTTACGGCGACGTTGATGGCGAACCGAACGGAGGTCGAAGGCTCTAACGACACGGGACAGGAAACGGCTGCAATGGTGACAGCGGGGGGTTTCACATTCAATGGGCTTTCAATGGGGCACTTTTGCTATTCCTGGTACGTCCTCCGACGAGGAAAAAAAAGTGCTTTTATCCAGGATCAAAACACTTGTACTATCAATGT